TAGACATAGCATAATTGCTTTTATATTGACTTGTATTAAATAGCCTAAACTAAAAGAACGACTTGTGGATCGATGTGAACGCCAGCAAGCAGGAATGATGCTCAGAATGCTTGTGGATTAAATATCTCCGATGACGTTCATCGCCATGGATTGATTTTATCGGGTTACAAGAAAAGGTAGGATATGGATTTAATTGCGAACTGTTAGTAGGCTACTGATTTTATGATTGATCATGCTAGCTACGGCATTCGAGTCCACACGCTTCCAGCCAAGTGACAGCCTGGTGAATAATCTGCATTACAAAAAGAAACATTTTTTTTAAAGGTTATTCATGATTACGTATTGCTGCCAAGGTATCTAGTATTTACAGTGCTTTGTTATATGGAGCTGTTTGGTATATCGCGATCTATCTAATTAGTTTTTCTACACCGTAATTAAAATGCGGCGGATTTTAATGGACAGTAAAAAAAAAGGCAGAACACTGTATAACTCCAAACCGGCACCGTAACTTCATTTTGACGCGCAGTTAAACAAAGGCAGAACGCCGTAACTCAATTTGAGCGTTCCAAACAAAGTGAAAGAGCGGTAACTGGTGTTATACGGTGTTCTGCCTTGGTTTCTCCGGGGCTTTTCGATCAACTTACGGTTGAGACGACCCATTATTTTCTCGGAAAAACGACGAAATTGACTCAAGATACTTATGCACATGATAAAGGCTGTCTTGAATGTCCCAAAAATATCAATTACTCATTTTCGACAAAAATCGAAGTTACAGTCTTCTGCCTTTGCACGGCCGAACTGGTCAGAGAGGCTACCAAGAAGCCTGCAGCAACTCCGAAGTTGGAGAAATTTATGACAAAGATTGGTCATTGTGTACATGTGACAACAATACCACAAATTCCCCACAAATGTGGCTTGTATGGGAGGAATATTTGCAAGAAAAAAACACTCCTCAAGAAAGGCCACATGTAGTCACGAGTCACAACTGAGCTTTGCCAAAACGCACCTTGAAGATTCTGAGGAAGATGAGACTAAAATGTAATTATTTGGCCTCAACACCAAACGATATTTCTGGATTCTGGACTTTCTTCGGCAGTTCTGCAAAGAAGAGTGGGCAAATATTGCAAAGTCTAGATGTGCAAAGTTAAGTAGAGACGTATCCCAACAGACTAAAGGCGGTAATTAAAGCAAAAGGTGGTTCAGCAAAATACTGACACATGGGGTGTGATCCTTTTTTCCAAATCAGAGATTCTGTTTTTTAATTTTTTTCTGACATGTTGGTGTTATATCTTTCACTTGGATGTTATAAGTTGCACTGAGTAAATACAGACAAGACAAAAACTGTGCCTGTCTTCATTTCAGGCTGTAAAGCACGTGATTATTTTAAAGGGGGGTGATTCTTTTCTATACCCACTGTAAATAAGGCATGAGAACAGGAACAGAGAGAAACACAACCAAAAGTTCATAACTGTGACAATATTAATATAATATATTAATGAAATAAAAGGCCACTTATACTAAGAATATACTTTCATGAATATGTTTCCTAACACTCTTACAGTAAGTACACATTTAAAATGTGTATTTTGTAACAATGCCAAATTGAAAGTTTTACTTGAAGTACATTCATTATACTTTAATAATCTTTTGTTGTGCTTAAAAAAAGTACACTTTGATGTTTTCTAAAGTACATGTAAAGTACTTAATTATAATTGTAGCTGTAATGTGTTATTCGATATTACTTTATTATTTAAAGGACTCATCGGATGAACATTTTCCACAAGTTAGCATGATTTATTAGTGTCTTCATGAAATGTCTGTAACATTTTGCTTAAAAACACTCAATGGCTGTGTAAACACCCTTTTTCCCTTGTCAAAAACAGCTCTGCTTACACCAACCCGTTTTGGTGTAATATGTCTCTTTAAATGATAATGAGTTACTGCACACCCCACACCCCTTCCGGGATTTCCACTGAAAATAAAATAAATCCACTCCTCTCTTGTCTCCTCTGAGGCTGGGACTGTAAATAATGATTTGTGTTTGTCTGTGCAGCCAACGACAGAACATTTAGCATGTTTTCCGCAAACTTTTGCCATGGCATCAGAACAAGTACACCGCTGTCGCTTGCGAAAACAACAATGGCGGCTGAGCGCCGTGGGTGGAAACGTGCAGATTAATGGGCGGTAATATTATAATAAGAACACCCTTCCTACGTCAGAGGGGGAGATAAATCTGATCGGCTCATTTTCTCACATGCTTGCAGAGAAAGGCTTATAAAACTAAACTTACTGGGTTCTTCTTTTTCACGTTTTCTGAGTTGGTCCGGACACTCAATTATAGCACTTAAACACGAAAAAAGTCAGATTTCCATCCAATGAGCCCTTTAAATTGTAAATTATTTATTTAAAATTCATGTATTTTAAATGTACTAAATGTCACGTAACCGTGTCGATGAACACACACGAAGAAGTCTTTAATAAATCCACATATAGGTAAATCCAAGCAAGAGAAGGCAGGAGACACACATACCCGACACGATACCCGACCAACTCAAACTGAACAGACAGGAACTTAAATACACAGACCAAACTAGGATAATTAACAAGACATACCTGAACATAATGAAGAACTCAAATCAGAAACCATGACAACGGGAATTCAGGACAGGCTGAGCATTCGGGATGACCTCCTTGTTCGTTTCTGGGCAGACAGGAAGTCCTGGGGTGGACATTGCTGTCTCGGGAGGAGCAATGGCGGTGTGTGCGGCCCACACACACAAAATGGCGAGTCACATTACCAGAAGCACCACTGACAGGGGAACGACCTCCGTGGTTGTTATAGGACAAACAGATCATTCTGGTACGACCTCCATGGTCGTAACAGGACAGGCAGAGAGTTATTCATGGTGGGCTACATGGGAGAAGAGCAGGCATGTCCATATATAAATCATCAAATTCCTCTGAGTCCAGTCTCAGCTCACCCTCAGCAGCTGGTGTGTGGGCGGAGTCCCCATTAGCTCCCTCGATCTTGAGGAGGACTCCCGCGATGACACCCTTTGTAGCCGGCACCTGGTCAAACGCTCGTTGAGGCTCAGGTTATGGGGCGATGATCGGCTCTGTCGCTTTCCTAGACGATGACTCGTAGATCACAGCGGGCTCTGGCTCTCCGTTTGCAGTGGGCTCTGGCTTTAGTTCCGCACAGCGGGGTGATGGTTGGCTGGGCTCTGGATCCGGAGTGGGGCTGGTGAAATCCTGGAGCACCCACTCCACAAAGGTGGCGAAATTCCCCCGAGGACCATCCCCAGACAACTTAGCCTGTGTCGCTGTGTTTATGCTGGCCTTGTAGAAGGTACACAGGCAGTCGGTCTGGGTAATGCGTGAAATTCGAGAGTTCCACAAAGATCCGTGTGTGGTCCTTGAGGGAGCGCTCCCACTGATCAATGCAGAGGAGGAGAATGGCAGGACTGTCCATAATGGAAAACAAAAAAAACAAACAGACAAAAATGGGGAAAATAGATAGAGTAACAGACGCAGTATCTGTCTTACTGTATCTTTTGGGTCGTACTCGACACGACACCTGACCAACTCAAACTGAACAGACAGGAACTTTAATACACAGATCAAACTAGGCTAATTAACAAGATACACCTGAACATAATGAAGAACTCAAATCAGAAACCATGACAACTAACTAGACAGAGAAAACGGTGCAAACAAAGCCCAAACAATGTGATGTTGTGACACTAAATTCAGCTACAAATGTGTACAGATAAATTTAAACATGACATGACATACAAGTTTAAATAGAAATGACATTCAAGTATATTTTAGTTTACAAAATATTTATTGTATTACATATAAAGATGTACTTAAGTCCTAGTTAATGACCCAAAAAGGAGCTCTAAATATCAGCTAATTGCATTTAAACTATATATTTTTTTATTATTGCAATTAACATGCAATTGATGTCCGAAAACATTTCATTCAGTATTTATTCATATTATTTTGTAATAAGTTAATGTTCATATTAATAAATTCATATATTCGTTTTATTTCTGTAATAAGTGGGCATACTCTTTTTAAAAGTATTCTAAAGTATACTTCTTTTTCACAAGGGTTGGTTGATCAGCTGGTCTGTTTCTCTGTCATAACAGTATCCCTTGAAGGCTGTGTTGCTCTTTGATTTGAGTTGTTGTGTAAGAGAGGTTGGTTTCATTAGTCTCACTCTGTGGTTCTTAATGCATGTTTGGGTTTTGTCCTTGGCTATAGAGATGTCTCTTTGAAAGTTGTCCTTGATGTAGTGAATTGCTTAGAGTGTGTTTGGGCAGTGCAGCTCTCGCCTTGAGGAAGAGACAGAGTTTGCTGAAGAGAGAGAATGGAGACCCACATTTTTGTCCCATCTGTCAGCGCTCTAAAAAATAAAGAGAATATCTCTTCTCTCTGAATTTACTCCTGATTCTTAACAGTATGCACATAGATACAGTACAGTACAGTACAATACAGTATATGGTTTGTGTTGGTTCTGAATTGTATACAAATTCCATGATTTTCTGCATTAGCGCTTTTGTTTCTGCTTTTGTTTACAAATATTTCCAGTTTGTAAAATAAAGAATGACAATCTCTGGGTGCAGGAGCACTAAACCTATAACTAAGTTGAATGCCTGAATGAGATTTTTTTTTCTGTGTTCCGAAAGAAGAATCATAAGCTTGCAGCAGCTCCATTTTTCAAGGCCTGCTGCTCTCATGTCCCTCTAAAACATTTTCTGTACATTTATTTTCCATTGTCATCAAAATCCACAAATGTCTGCATTATTTATCATACAAATAAGGAGTGTGCGGTATGACCTAAATCTTTTATATCTTTTATATAATAAATTTTATGTCATATATCATGAAAAATAATTGAGAAAAGGTTATATATTCATTTATTTATATTAACCATATAGTAATGCCTATTCCATATTAATCTGTCATGTTACTTCCTCACTTCGTCTTGACTTATTGACTCTCTGTTTTCACATTTTGTCATGTTTTTCATCATTCTCATGTGTAAATGTAAATGTAAATGTAAAGCAGTCGTGTCTCATGATAGCCATCTAATTATATCTACTGTAGTATCTCTAGTTGACACATTTATTATTAATGCCTATTTTTTCATAGGAGTTGAGTTAAAAACATTAAACGTAGGTCAGTTAAGTACAGTGTTTCATTGTACAGTGTTCATGTGTATTGAATTGAATTATACAGGACAGCTGGGAGATCGTCGAGGGTTTGCGTGGTGGTCTTTCCAATGTTCAGGAGCCAGAGAAGCAGGCCGGCTACATGCTGAAGAAGAGAAAGTGGCCCATGAAAGGCTGGCACAAGGTATGTATCAATGCCTCTACCAATGTTTTAGTAAAAATATTTGGAATAATTAGATTAGTGCAGAGATTTCCAGATCTCAAAGCGACTGAGCGGATTCATGCTAACCTGCCTGAACACATTGCACTCACTCTGATGGACTCTGCACTGAAAAAAAATAATTTGGAACAAAAAATACTCTAATTTGTTGCAGCTAGATTGATTAGTTTTTTCTCAAATTATATTTATTACATTTTGATTTAATATTAATCAAAAATATGTATTTTCGCAGACAAAAACATTCATACAGAGTATAGAAATTATTTATCATAAAGATCACACTTCATCAAATTTTCTTTAGACACAAGACAACATGTTAATGGAGGTCAATATAATAATTTTGGGGCTTTTTATAACTTAATTTTACCATAAACAAATGCTAAATTAGCTATAATATGAAAATTAAAATGAAAGACCTTAATGTTTATTGTGATATCTTTTTAAAATATGCATCATCTTGTCTGTTATGCACTAACAACAACAAAAACACCAGAAAAAATGGATAAAACCCACAATAATGTCTGTAGTCAATAAAGCTGCAAATCAACAGTGTTGTTTCTTTTAATTTTTTCAACGAGGAGTGCTTTTTTCTTTTAGCCAAACTGAACTAAACAGATTAAACCAGAAACCGTGATTTTTGATTATACCAACATTAAAATGCACTAAATATTTTTCAGTGTGGGGTGTCTGACAATTAAAGCACTCATTATGTTCAATTGCAGCGCACAAACACAAAGATGAAGTGAGCATTTTTTGATGCAAAAATACTTTATTCTATGCCAGTTTAATGTTTAGATACAGCCCTAAGTAAGCCTTTCAAAGGTTTGTTCTCCAAAAATACCCATATTACCCTTCAACCAAAAAGAGTGAATACAAGAATAGACCGAAAAGAGGCATAGCGATACACAGCCTCTCATTCATCAAGAGTGCGTAAGCGTCCCCTGAGAGGACATTCATCATTTATCAAATAAATCTGACCCAAGTTTCTCCTGTCCTCTACTCTTTGTGCTTCTTTCTTCACAGAGATTCTTCTACCTGGATAAGGGCATTTTGAAGTACGCCAAAAGCGCAGCTGATGTGAGTCTAAAAGGCCTCACATATACACAAAGTCTATTGAACTAAAGCACTCAGGACTTTTAGTGGTCAGTTCCCCATCATGTAAGTCTTCACAGAGCTCCAGCAATCTGTAGAGGTCCTAAACCTCCATCTTTCTGTCAATATATGTTTCCTGCTGATAAAAGCCTCAAGCTGTGGGTATGTAAAATCAAAGTTAATGTAAAGCGGTAATTTCATAACAGAAGCTATTATACCACCTTGCCGTGTTTGCCTTGCCTGCAGTCTGCCCTCCTAAACAGCGTCATGAAGTGGCCAGGGTATTAAATTATAATGAAAGTACATATTTAACCTGCCATATATCTTTCAGATGTAGCTGGAACATTTTTGGCCTCTAAATCAAGGGCACTAGTTGAATGTGCCTGTGAAAATGGATCATTGACAAGGTTATGCATTAGCAAAATTAGCTGAAGCCCTCTTGCATTTAAAGTGCTGCAAACTTGTCACCTTTTGTGAAATTTACTGTTTTGAATGCATAGTATGCTTACAGAGTGCTATATGCTTACAAATTCTAAATTTAGTCAGATTACGGGACAAATTACTCTTATGAGCAAGTTCTTTTTATTTAATATTTTAACTAATTAGTATCGTTTTTGACTGGTCAGTTATGACAGTGTGTAGTTAAAAATACACGTTATGTGTTTTGTCAGTACTATTATTAAAATATAAATGAATGAAATATGTTACCACATATTACATATATATATATATATATATGTATGTATAAATGTATGATATGACCACTTTAAATAGCCAGAATTGACTTGTTTTACTAATATTGTTGTACTTTTGCATTTATCTTCTCTTTCTCTCCTCAATCATTTTCTGTTTTTGTTTCTGTCTCTCTATATGTAGCGTGCCTCTCTCGCAAAGCAGTCCTCTCTCCATTCGCCGTTATCTTTTACCAGCCAGGCCAAGGTGACCGCCTGGCTCCAGTCTTCTGATGACACGGACAGGTGCACCAAAGGTACACGCACACCAATTTATGAATCCATCTCACACTGAAGATGCTGTGTCTGCAGCTTTTTACTGCACAGTGTTCTTTGTCTCTCTCTCTCAGAACTCTCAGTATGTGAGGCTCAGCTGCTGGAACTGAATCACTTGTTGAGAAGTATGGAGGTGTTGCACCGCACCTGCTCCGCCCCAGCCATCAACGCTCTGCAGGTTACATGTCACTCACATACAAAATTATAACAGTATTATAAAAGTAATTACAATGTATTTTACTTTTTGCTAACAATCAATAATTAAGCCATATATCAGACAGGGCACCAGGCTGTGCCTAAAACAGTCGCATTTGCGACCAAAAATATTAATTTGCGAGTGAAGTTTTTGCTGAAATTGCCACTGGTGACTATATAAATTTACATGTCATGACTTTAAAGTTAGCATGTAATGCCTTTTTTCCTGCTTGTTTTGTGATCACATCTTTGACGTAATAAACTGAGACGATGCGTCAAAGTTAGCGAAAAAAAATCAGCGTTTACGGCACACCATGCAAAGTAAAAGTGCAGAAAAGCAGTGTCTATTTTGTGTACAACTTAAACTAAAACAGGTAAAGCTGTCAGCTGCGTGGACATTAACAATATCATTAAAAATTCTTGTTAATAATAGATACTGATATATGGCTTCTTGATTACCTTGTATCAAGACATGCTGTGTTCTGTAAATGGGTGAACTTCATAATATTTGTAGCGCACTTGCTGTCCAATAATCACAATAAGCTTTGTGCTCTGTTACCTTTTAATAAACATAACATTTTTGCCAAATTCATAACTAAATTCAAACATACCGTTTTGGTGCTCTTTAATGTGGCATGAGTGCTCGCTTTCGCCCCTCAGTTCAAGCGGCACGTGAACCCATCATATCTTTCTCTTTACTACTATAGTACGAGATAAACATGAATGGACATCAAAAGGTACATAAGATACAGTACATCTTACTGTAATCGCTCATTCAGTGTTTCAAACTGCGGAAAATGTGTAAACCTTGTAAACAATGCAACATAACAAACATTTACCTCAGAATATAAGCTCATTAGTCAGCTAGAAAAAAAATTACTATAAAGAAGAGCATTTTGCTAAATTTATGCACTATATTGCTTATTCATATTTTTACTTAACCTGTTGTCTACATGATAAGAAAGAATGCAAGGAGCTAAAGATAAAATTCAACACCTACTATAATTGCATGTTACTAATGAAGAAAAACAGACTGGATGTGTGCAAGACATATGACAACAATTATAGGCTGCATTGAGGAGGAGCCCAAACTACAGTCATGGGCCAAGTGATTCTGTCATTGTTATGGTCCGTGATATTGGCACAGATTCTGTGTAATAAACAATTCTTTGTGACTGTATATGTAGTTCTCAAGTTGGAAAAGACATTTAAAGTGATCCCTAGTTCCCAGGACATCTAAAAGATGGATTAAAATGCTGATAAAGACAAGAAAAGATGAGACATAAACACATGACAATATGACTGAAAAGTAAAAAACAAAAAAAAACACGTTTATTCTGTGGCACTTAAAAAAATAATTTGGCATTTAGTTTTGTTTTGTTTTGTTTTGTCTGGAGCCCTGTCAGAAGAGTTAGATAAAGTTTTCCACATATCCAACAAATTTAATGATGTATCTAGTTGAATTAGTATTAGCTTGGATTTTTTAAGTTTTACTTGGACTTTTTAAAATGTTTAATATACAAAAACTTTAAAACTGCTGCCCTCAAAAAAGGCCAGTCTTAGTCCCTCAGGTAGTGGTCCAGCTGTGCCTGTGGATGCTGTTAATGTTCTTGCCTACGGCCCAACTGACAAACAGTCATTCAGTTGATAGCACAATTTCACAAGGATAGTCATGATGTGTTTTGCGGTCATAAATCAAATTATTCCACATAACCGCTGTTACAGATGAGCTATAATTCAGAAAGCTGTCCATTCATCTGCCAAATGGGCCGCCTTATTTTATTACAACTGCTGTTTACTTTGGCTGCTGTGAATGTAAATGTTATCCTCGGCTAGTTTGCAGGTTTTTGTTTTGTGTCATCTGGCCGACAAATAAGCTGAGAGATCTGGGTGCAAGTAACATGGAGAGAGTACACACTGTTTATTTACAATACAAAGCTGGTTAAAAATCAGCAAACTTGCCTTTAAGATGCTGGGCATTAATCCTCTTATTGTCGCACAATTCTTCCTCATTTTGTTTTTTTACTCTTTTCATGTTATGGCCAATAGCCAATAGATGGCCAATATATTCTATATTATTAAGTGAATTTGGGCATCACAAAATTATAAGGTATAGTATGAAAATGGATATTTATTTCAAGATTTGGAGTACACACTGTTTATTTACAATACAAAGCTGGTTAAAAATCAGCAAACTTGCCTTTAAGATGCTGGGCATTAATCCTCTTATTGTCGCACAATTCTTCCTCATTTTGCTTTTTACTCTTTTCATGTTATGGCCAATAACCAATAGATGGCCAATATATTCTATATTATTAAGTGAATTTGGGCATCACAAAATTATAAGGTATAGTATGAAAATGGATATTTATTTCAAGATTTGCTAAAGAATACAATTAATATTGTTAAATTACTAGTGTTTAAATATGAACTTGCTAGATGAGTGTTAGAAGATGGCAAAGCTATCTAAATGTAAAAATAGGGGAAATGAGCATGCACAATTAAATTTCCAGTATCAGCCAATATATATCCAATACTGATTGATACTGACAAATTAAATCATCTCTATTATCGGCAATTAACTCATATGCTACCAATATATAAGTGAAGTGACGTGTGGCAAAGTATGGTGTCCCATACTCGGAATTTGTGCTCTGCATTTAACCCATCCAAGTGCACACACGCAGTAGTGAACACACACACACCGTGAACACACACCCGGAGCAGTGGGCAGCCATATTGCTGCGGCGCCCGGGGAGCAGCTGGGGGTTCGGTGCATATGTTCGGTATATACACTGAACAAAATTATAAACGCAACACTTTTGTTTTTGCCCCCATTTTTCATGAGCTGAACTTCATGAGACTTTTTCTATGTACACAAAAGACCTATTTCTCTCAAATATTGTTCACAAATCTGTCTAAATCTGTGTTAGTGAGCACTTCTCCTTTGCCAAGATAATCCATCCACCTCACAGGTGTGGCATATCAAGATGCTGATTAGACAGCATGATTATTGCACAGGTGTGCCTTAGGCTGGCCACAATAAAAGGCCACTCTAAAATGTGCAGTTTTACTGTATTGGGGGGGTCCG